CATCAGGGCAACAACCATCATGAAAAAGTGATAAAATCACTAAAAAGGAACAAAAATTATGGTACAGTTTTAGTTCAGTTATTAAAAAGCCCCTAAATTTAATAAAGAAAAGAAAATTGCCATTGAGAGTGCAGAACAAAGGAAGTGAAACAAGCTATAAGCGTCATCCATTAAAGTCTTAGTCATCAGTTCATCTTTGCAGCCTCCACACCGACTGACGCACACAACAGAAATTATTCAAAATTAAAAGTTCTGCTTTCTGGCACCGCTTGTGTTTCAGTTCAGTATTTCTGTGTTTGTTTCATTAAAAGAAAACCTGTCAGAACACCAATCAATGTTTGACTCCACAAACATTTAAAGAATAACAGCCAGAACATAGTTTAAAGTACAAACACTGTGTTACTGTATTTAAGTTGTTTTTTATCTACTTTATATTGATTTATTTATTGTATTTATTTTTCTGAGAACTTTTTCATTTTACTTTCTACATTTACACATAAATATCTTTCTATTCTCACAATTTTAAAACAGGCTTATTACTTTAGTTTCAATCCCTTTGAGGGTTTTGATGATATTGCTACTTATTATTATTATTATTGCCTTCCCAACATCAGACAAAAGTGTGAGATTCGACCCTATTTAAAGTTTCAGTAGCAGAGAAACCAAGAGAGTATCTACTTTTACATTTAAAGGTAAAGTCTGTATCTTTTCACTTTTACTAAAGTAAAGAAGTTAAATCAGTACTTTTTTAAACAAGTATCTGTACTTCTACTTGAGTAAAGAACGTATTTACTTTTGCCACCTCTGTCCAGCAGGCATCTACAGTTGGATATGTTGTTATTATTATATTATTATTAGGCTATAAATGTAACTTCTACTTCAATGTAAAAGTCAAAAGAGTTTAATATATCAGGCCTTTAGGAGCAGAAATGTTTTGGTGAAAGTTTAGGCAACAGTTCAGCTCCTGGACTCCATGAGCAGCAGTGAACCCTCAGCCTGTGGTCTGTAAATGGGACTTTATGACACAGTGGGCTCTTTCTCTCTAAACAAAGCTCAGAGGTCAGTGATTGCAGCTACAACAGTCACTTTCACTGTCAGTTTCGTTCCCGTTTTGATTGTAACAGGACAAATGTGTCTGAAATCCCCCTTTTTTTGTACCATGTTGTCTCAGCGTTCAAATTCTATGTGTAAAATGTTGCACAATACATTATAATATTGAGTGTTTAAAGACTTCATTCAGAGTAGTTGCATCACTGTCTTTTTATGACAATGCATTTTTTCAATAAACCAATTTAACGGTTTATTTATGTTAAGAAAAAGGAAAAATTCTCTTAAAATATTCTTTTATGTGACGTAGCTGATATTTTAAGTAGATAGCGTCTTTAAAGCAATAGTTAGCTGAAAGGTTTGATACCACTCGCGCATCAAGCTACAGGCAGGAGCCGATTGGCTTAGCTTAGCACAAAGACCGGAAACATTAAGAAACAGCTAGCCTGGCTCAGTCCAAAGGGAACAAAATCAGCATTTATAAACTCAGGTTTTTCAAATATTGCCTGCATATCTTTCACGAACATGGACACATACTGCAGGCTAAGTTTCACATACAATAATGGGGCCTTTTTTTGTGTCCTGTTCTCCTGACTTCAGAGTTTTAGCATGTGGCCGCACCTACAAACGCTGTGTCGGCAAAGGTGAACCCATTTACCAGCAGAGTGACCTCTAACCTTCCAAGTCCAGCTAGTGTTCGCCCCCCCTGAACTCAGCCTCATGTTCCTGCTCACAATGTTAGAAAATCCCAGAGACAAAGCCGGGGAGACAGATGGCCACACACACACACACACACACACACACACACACACTGTAGGGTCAGACCAGTGTTTTGGCTTTGGTACAGCAGTTATGTGATGCTTTATTGTTATGACCGTCCTATTGTTAGACGTCTGGCACGGGACTTTTTTCATCGCACAAATTGTGTTTGTTTGTTTAAAGGGCCAGTGTGTAGCATTTACTGATCCAGTAGTTTAGTTTGCAGATTGCTCATCCTCCTCTTCTGAGTGTGAAGGAGAATCAATGGCCCAAACAGCCCCGTCTAGAGCCAGCGTTTCGTTTGTCTGTTCTGGGCTACTGTAGAAACATGGCGGTTCAACATGTACATGTACAATTGTGTTTTTTTTCAAAGATTTACGGTTAATTTTCGTTCTGAAAATCAGATGCTAGCACTGTGACTTAAATATAATCATACAACCTCAGGAAAGATTGTGGTTTTGGTTCAGTGTTGATTAACAGTCGTATCTCCTGGTTTAATTTACAGCTGACCGTTCGTGTATTAAACAAAGACCATGATCTTTGCCTAACCGTGACCAACCTACTAATCTTAAACCAGGTATGTTAATCAGCATTAATATAATCTGGATTTGTGTTTCCCTTTAAAACATATTTGCTGTTTTACATTAGTTGTAGATGAACATAATTTAGGATATAGGGTTAATAATACATGAGAGGCACAAACTGGGGGATGTATGAACCTTAGATGTCAGCAGTGGATGCAGGCAGACACACTTTACTGTTTGCACATAATGTTGCAGCAGTTGAGGTGCAAAAGAAACACCTGACCTTCACAAAAAAAGGGACAGAAAGAGAGAGCTGCTCTGTGCACGCGGACCTCATGTCCACATGAAAAAGGGACAGAAAGTGAGGAGAGAGTGGGCCGGCAGCACTGAGGAATGCTGGGTAGAGCCCCGTGCTTGTTGCCTTTGGAATGCCCCGGGGCCTCTTACATAAGTCCCGTCGGGCCGTCGGCCGCTCCGTCAGCCACACATTCACAGTCAGCAGCCACACCGGACTTCCACTGAAACTCAGCCACAGACTCCAGCCTGTAACCACTCCTTTACAGAGAGGAGAGGAGTTGTGAAATGCTGTAATTATGGACTTGTGTAATTGCAGCATGACAAAGCTCCACTACTGACTCACACTTAGTACATCAGATTTACTTCTAACCATCATTATTGCTCAGCTGCAGTCTGAGGTTTTTGTAGTTTGACCAGAAGACACGAACCACAAATATCCTGTTGGACTTACAGACTGGATCATCATCCATGTACCTTTACATCTGCTTGTTCTCACCTTGTTATCTCTGTAGAGGAGAGTTTACACAATTATTTACAGACACCCGACAATTTGAGCACGTAGCGACAGTGGCAAAGAAAAACTCCCTTTTCCATTTTATGCTACTTCATACTTTAACTCCACTAGATTTCAGAGGGAAATATTACATTGATTCTACTTGTTGTGCATATTTTGTTGATTATTCTGCATCCAGAATATGATGCATTGTTCAGTGAAGAAATTCTAGTCAGGAATTGAGTCTTTTTTTTTGATAACATGGGAAAAAAACATCAAATTAATTTCTAAAATCAGCTTTTTAATAATTCTAGTGCATCGACTGTGCTTTATTATTCATTGTTTCAGGATTCAAACACTAATTTCTTGAATATTTTTAATGATTTGAATGAAAAAAGGTTGAAATATTCTTACTGCACTGCGAAATAGGGTTTTTAGAACTAATTTATTAACAGCAATGTTTTTATAAGATCAGGTTGTTGTAGATTAAAAAGTCCAGCCTTTTATTAAGTAGTACACAACTGCAATAAAACAGTTGTATTGTAGTTTCACTGTCAGGTAGTGATATACTGATATCCACGCTGTAGCAGAGATAAAAGCATGCATCTTATTTTCAGTTGGACTTTTACAGGAAACAGGAATGTAGGCTGAGTGTAATAAAGTTAAGCCGACCTGTGCGCAACCCCTGCTTCTTTCAGCCCAAATCTCCTCTATAATCTCCTTCACACTTCTATGGCTAAAGTGGATTTAATAGGCAAAAGTCAACAACAGATCAAAAGTTTGGATTGGCACCGTTAGAAAGACACCGCTAATTCATTCAAGACTTTTAACAGAAACTAAACACAGATCACAAAGATCACAAGTTACACCAGATTCAGTTTCTCACCGTTGGCTCCTTGTCACTTTTTGACATACAAGGCATCACATGGTCCCACAAAGAAGGAGGGGGGGCTCATTTGTAAAATGAGTAAAAATGTGTTAAGACAGATTTAAAGACCTGGTTCTTTGCAATAATACCTTATTAATAGTTAGAGATTTTTTTCTAGTGCAATACATGAATGTCATGTAAACATATTTAAATATTCTAACAGGAAACTATGTCACTAACTTTTATTTGTAACTCCAAACAACCTACAGACATAAACGGAGTATGAGAAAGTAAAAAGTCCCCACCGCTCAGAAACTTCGATGACACACAATGACTACAAACAACATGGAGGTGTTTCTGGTTGTTTTGTGTCTATTTGTGGACATTTTGTTTCTCTTTCTACTTGTAAATCTCAATTTAGTTTTTCTCTCTTTGTTGACCTTTAGTGTCTCTTTGAGGTCATTTTTTTTATTTCTGTGGTAGTTTTGCATCTCTGACCTTTTTTGTCTGTTTGTGTGCGTCTCTATGTTATCATTCTCTTCATACAGCGAGCAGGGACACTGGACCTGAACCCAGTAGGACCATTCAGTAGCCCATTTATGATACTAATAAGCCAACTATCTTCTGACTCTGGTAGGGAAGGCTCACCAGGAGCCCGTGCCACTCCTAGACCCCCTTCTGGCCCCGCCCTGGAGCAAGGACATCAAATGAAACATGATCATGTTCAACTATTGTTGATTTTCAAACACACACAAAGTCTCAGAGAAGCCGAATCATCTCTAAAATCTAATCTTTAAACATTTGTTTCCTTTGGTTTTTTCTTGATTTTAAAACTTTGTCTCTTCGATTTCCCCCCTTTCGTCTTCTCATAAAGAATTTCTTTTGTCTGTCTGTTTGGAAAAGTAGAAAAGTTCCTTGCTTGCCAAGTACCCCACATTAAATTAAAACACTGATTCATTTTGACTAAAAAAAGGTTAGAGAAAGTAAGAATATGGCAAAAGACAAATTTGGGTTCATCAACTGTACCAAACAGCCATTTTTTTATTTCACAATGACACATTGGACAGGTACTGTAGATATATAGTATATCAAAAACACGTCAGTTGACATGTCATATCTAAAATTAAAAAAACAACAACACTTGTTTTCAATTTGCACATAGAGCTCAAGTCTTAAAAGACACAGAATAAAAGTGACCGAACATTACAAATGAAGGAACGCGTCAAAATACATTTCCCAGCACATAGTTCTATATTGCATACACATTTAATCAGGAGTGGAAATCTAAAACGCATTGATGGATCACCTTTTAATGTTATCTGGTGAAATTTCAAAGGCCACCATATGGACTTCAATTCAGCAAAAACAGCCTACTCAGCTGTCCAAATCAGAGGACAGAAAAGCTATAAGATGAGTCATTCCCTACACAGTTATGAGTAATGTTGGGGGATACCAGCAGGTACTGGTAAGCAGCAACTGGAGCTCTTAGTGGAGCTCCTACAGAGTCGACCACCAGGTCTCCGTTTGGTCATGCACACATAGTAGAACGTCCTGGAAATACAAAAACTCCCTCAGCATGGATTGTGACACTGTGCCGAACACATTCATGAGGATTTCTCTTTTTCTTTTTTAAAACTAAAATCGACAGCCATCGTCAGAAAGCTTTCCAGCACAGATTCAGTACAGAGAATAGTGTTTCATTATTCAGAATGGCGTACAGTGCTCATTTCTTCACAACAGACCCAACCCTCTGGCTTGCAAGGCATCAAATTTGTGAATGAACATTTAATTAGGTGACTGTGCCATTTGCGAGACTTTCCGTTACACTGTGTCTACCATACCGAGTGCTATACCACAGCAGTTTGTTTGTATTTAAAAGGCAAGGTGAGAGAGGTGTTGATACGGCTTCTGTATCCAACTAATGACTGCAATTACAACTGAGTCAAGGCCAGAGAAAAGTCTTGAGAAACAGAATCATTATAAAACATCACATTTGAAAAAAAAAAAAAAACTGACTACAGCATAGATGGTCTGTCCAAAAAAATTCAAGACAGAAAAAAATTGCAAAAATGTTTCTATAATCCAAACTAAATATTACAAACAGCATCTACAGAGAGAAATAGATAATTTCTAATAACTTAAATACTTAAATTAGTATGCAATACAATACTCTTCCGTTTAGGGCCAGAGGGTAAGAAAATAGATCTGCTCAAAGCCTGCGCAAAAAAACAAACAAGGTCCATAGGCTAAATAAAATAACCTAGTGATGTGTGCTCTGACTTGCATGTGTTGAGTGTGTCCTTTTGGAGGAGAGGGCGTCTCTCAGATCCCTTCAGTCCTGCAGTGAGAAGCTTTGGCACAGAAACACCATGGGACGAGATGACGCATCACAACAAGGTGCTAATGAGGGACACTCATGCAGGCCTCGCTCCAGTTCTGGAGGAGATAAGGTCAGTGAACCCCAACATGCATCACCACCATACTGCCAGGGCAACAGACAACAAGAGAGGGGCCGAGAGGAAGAGGAGAGGCCGGGAGAGAGGGGGAGGGAATGGAAATAAGTGTACAGAGAGAGAGAGAGAGAGGGAAGATGAAAAGAACCGGCTCAGATGTATGAACAGTGTTTTAAGGGGGGATTTTACAGCCACAACAGGAGGCGATGACAGAGAATAAAAAGGTTAAAAAGGAAAATTATTTTCTCGTCAGGGCCGGGAAAGAACCATGGGTCAGGATAACGACACTGATTTTAGCCTGATGTGGTGGTTTCTTCCTCTCAACATCTCCTCTTTTTCTCTCTATCCCCCGCCGTCTCACAGAGACGACTCCACCTCCCTCGGGATGGAAACCTCGGCCCCCGTCTGAGGGCACACCTGAAGGGCCGCGGCGTGCTCCGGGGTCTCGCTGATAACCTCCAGGGCCGAGGACGCCGCCGCCTTACAGTCACTGTTGGCCTTTTTATCAGAGTTCTGTTTGTCCGCGGAGCCGCAGCACAGCTTGGGAGCGCACTGAGTCCGACAGGAGAGCTCACAGAGGGAATCCCGAGACTCCGAGCTGAACGTGACGAACTCGGGCTGGATGGTGGTGGCGTGGATGCCCTCGTCGTGGAAGAAGTCCTTGATGCGCTTGGCCACCTCCATGTAAGACGTGGGGTCGTGGCACTTGATGTGCGCTGTGGCGATGATGCGGCTGCCGGCCAGCTGCCAGATGTGCAGCTCGTGGATGGCCAGGACGCCTTCCAGACCCAGCAGCCGCTCGTTGAGCCGGTGCATGTTGATCTGCTTGGGCACGGTCTGCAGCAGGATGAGGGCCGACTCTTTGAGCAGCGGGTAGGTGGTGTACAGCAGAATGCCCACCATGATGATGCAGAGCGTGGGGTCCAGGTAGAGAACCCAGCAGGGGCCGGCGAACTTCGTGGACAACATAGTGGGCCCTTCCAGGAGGTCGACCAGCGTGTGGTTGACGTGCTGGTGGTCGGTGCTGTGGCTGTTGACACACGGGTTGACGCACATCTCGCCGGCGACGCAGGGCTGCCACACGAAGGTGAATATTAGAGAGTTGACGACCACGATGACGGAGCCCAGGGCGTCGCCCAGCACGTGCAGGAAGACCCCGCGCATGTTGAGCTGCGCCGACGAGTCGTGGTCTTGGTCCATCTCCTCGTAGTGGGTGTTGCCGTTCATCTGCACCTCTGTGCCGTCTTTACAGCTGATTTCTGAAGATGAAAATAAAAAAAAAAGAGGTTGTTTTAGTTTAGTGGAACAAAGTTTAACAATCAGCTGGACTTTGACACTGAGATACTTCAACAGATACACAGACGGCTCATGAGCTGTGACTAAAATACAAACAGTGCTTTGAGGAATTACAGAAAAACAAACGATAACAACAACAACCAGCTGATTACGGTGCAAAAACAAAGCTGGCACAAATTCGCCCGCAGCAACAACAAAAAAAAAAAAGATTTCCAAGAAGATGCTTTTCAACAGGAGCCGGTTCATAAACTGTGTCCACCTGAAACTGGAGACAAGGAGACAGAAGTCAGGCTGCATTGTTATCAGGTGACAGGTGTTGGAGCTGCTGGTGGAGGAGACTAGGGGGCAATTTACGAACACATTTAACATCCAAGACAAGTTTTTTTTTGTTTTGTTCCAGCTTTCACTGTGACTGAGTTTGTGCTTTTACAGCTCGGGGGCTACAAACAGGAACACACCAGACCGCCGTGCTGGATTATATGACAGAAACACAGCGTCTGGGATCCTAAACGCCACAAAAACACATTTACATCAACATTTTTAATGAGCATTTGCAGGCAGCGTGCACACCTCTGTGGGAATGGCTGCTTGCTTCCCACCCCGGGTCATTCACCAACGACTAACTGTGTGTCTGGGGCTGTGGACTCCTCCGTTACAGGAGGAGGAGGAGGAGGAGGAGGGAATATAACAGTGTGAGGGTGACATGGTCTTCTGTACGGGTTTAACCCTTTAATGAGGGAGGAGGAGGATGGGCGCTTGGACAGAAGGAGCAGCAGTCGGCCAGAGGAAGCTTTAATCGGGGGTTGGTCTGTTGCTTTACTGTCGTCGAGCGGACATCAAACTCTCATCTGACCGCATCGGATGGACGTGTGGCCGTTTGTGTGTTTTGCTGCTGTAACCTGACGCCTGCGTGTGGCTGTCTAACCTTGTGGTTTCTGGAAATCGTGAGCTGTGGGAATAATACACAAGAGCTTCAGGAATTTTGACAGATGTGACACTGCTGCGAGTTTTAACGTGTGTGTAAAAAAAAAAACAAAAAAAACAAGGTTTCTTACTCATCTGTGTTTATAAAAACAGCAGATTGTGATTGTCTGTGTCACAAAGCGTGAAACTTGAGGCTTGTTACCCGTTTGTGTCACTGAGGGTGGATCGAATAACCCCCAAACAAATATCTGATAACAAACACAGATGTCTTAAATGCCGCAGTCACAGAGGAAACAATAAGGATTAGTCACTCAGGCAGTGTGTCCCTCATGGCACACTGAAGACACACTCATGTACTCTTATGCAATCTGGACTGCTAACAATGGAGATAAGGTTTAAGCACATGCTGTCAGATTACATGCAGGGCACAAAGACACACTGGGTTTGTACAGTTTGAACCTCAAGTATTCATTTAAACGTGAACAAAAAAACACGATTAAAGTCAAGATTGTGAAGTTTTACAATAAAACAACACAAAAACAACAACAATAATAGCTCCACTCTACCATTTCTCGGCCTCACATCACCGGGGCTGTTGTGATTCGCCACCAGGTTGTTGGTCTCCTCTCCTGAAGACCCGTTCCCAGCCTTCTGGCACTTGCCGGCTTTGCCCCTCTTGTTCTTCCCGCCGTGAGAGTGACCTCCGTGGGAGTGTCCGTGGCCTCCGCCGGCGTGCCCGTGGAACAAGCACAGCCCGAGCAGGTTGATCAGGAGCCCCGCGGCCCCGACCCCGGCCACCACCTGCGGGCTCTCGATCTCATGGGGCTCGGTGAAGCGCTCCACCGCCTCCAGCACGATGGTGAAGCACAGCGCCGTGAGGAAGACGGCGTTCACCAGAGCCCCCATCACCTCCGCCCGGATCCAGCCGAAGGTGTTCTTGTTGGTCGCATGGGTCTTCTCGGCGAACCGCACCGCCACCAGAGCCACGACCAGCGCGATCACGTCCGACAGCATGTGGAAGGAGTCCGACAGCATCGACAGGGACGAGGTCATCCGGCTGACCACCACCTCCACCACGAAGAACCCGAAAGTCAGCGAGAGCATGCAGAGCAGCCGGACACGAGTGGGCTCACACGCCATGGTGCTTTTTTTTTTTTTTTT